TGTGTTGGAAAAAAGTAGAAGCGAAAGAAAAAGAAAAAAAAAAATAAACCAAACTAAAATAAAATAAAAAACTTTTACAATTGTGAAAAATGAAATGACAACAATGTCCTTGTTATTTATCCTCATGTTATGGGCGATATGGGAAAGGGGATCTATCTGTCTCTTACAACAAATGTGTATATATGTACGTATACACACATGTATGCATTTATGTTGTGTCTTCGAGTGTGTGTCATGACATAACATTACTGAATAGGGTGCGTAGCCGATTATTTGTGTCATTTCGTTGCTTTTTTTGATTCGCATTGTAGTTCCAACAGATCTGACACATCTGGCAGTGTTGTATTATTTCATTTGGAAAATTCAAAATAAACTGTTTGGTAGTTTGTTTCACTGGTCTCCCCACGTCTCCTCTCTGCTCATCTCCTTTCTTGTTTTTGGCAATTTATCAATGCTGCTGGCCAAGAAAATGGCAATAAAAAGTGCAATATTTCTATTTAACCGCTTTTTATCCACCAACAAATCAGCCAAGTCAACCAAATGCAACAAACAAGTCATTCCACAAAAAGTAAAATAAAGACGACGACAACGACGTTGTACGAATATTCAACTGGAAAATTTCATCACTAAACCCACTTATGGACGTAGCGTGCAATAGTCCATCCTCATCTGCCTCCCACTTAAGTGTCTGTTGCTTTGTTGGCTTCTCGTTCTCGGGCAAGATGCAACTTTTCATCGCCGCATCTATCTTTTTACAGCTGCAACCACAGTAGCAAGCTTATTTTTGTTGCAGTTTTTTCCTCAGTTGCTTGTTTCCAGAATTATCCTCCGTCTTATTGGCAACAATTGAGCTGCCAATGCTGACAGTAAAAATGCTATCTCGTTTTGTTGCTGTTGTTGTATTTATGTGTGTGTTTTTGTTTTTTTTTAGTGCAAAGGGTTTCTTTGCTTATTTTCAGTGAGCGCAATTTAAGTTGCAAAATTTTTATTACCCATGGTGCACATTTCAACTTTGTTTGAGCTGATTGCATAGCTAAAAATTTCTTATTCTCTTTGTTGTTGTTTTTTTTTTTATTTTTATATATATTTTTCTAGCAATGACAAACGTGTCGATACATTTGTCATTTGGAGTTATCGTAAAATTTACAGTGAGTTGAGTAGCAGAGACAACAAGTATATATGTGTGATGAGCGGTTCGGTGGAGTGGAGTGTGGCTGGTAAATTGTTTGTGGGTTCGAGGATCCGTTATGATATGCTTTTGTGTGCTTAGTCTTACTCTTTTTGGAGTGCTTGGATTTGCCACCTTCAATTGATGCCTCGGCATTTACATCTACCTTATGGCGATGATGCAGATTTGAGAAATATATCCAAATCTGAACCGAATTTAAGGAAATTCGTAAATTAAAAATGTATGGACTCACTCTGCCCAAAGCAAAATTAATTAATGTATTTTTCCATAGGGATGAAGTTGGTTGGACAACGTTCTTCATTACTGTCTAGATTAATAATATCAAAGCGCAGAGGAAAGAGTTCCTCTTTTTTACACTGGCATATTTTACGAATCATGTTTTCCCCGAGTAAACATTTACGCCATACGTTACGCCATAGTTGGCCAGATCTTTCCCGTGTAAAATTTGTGATGTACGACTTACAATAGTGGCCTCTAGAGCTACTAGGACATACAGAAACATTTTTAGTTCATTCCATTTCCTAATTATCATTACCGAAATTTGTAGGTATATTTCCTTAATATAACCAGAATCTCATGTATAATTTCATAGCGATCCGCGAGACATTTTCACCTTCTAGTGTGGCAATGGTAAAACTAATTAAAATATATATGAGATATTTAATTTGGTGTTAATCGGCCGATGTTTGTGGTTTTGGTGCACGGATGACGGTTCCTTAATTGTCTTGGGAGCATTTAATAGCCACGGAATGCTTTAGTTGACATTTCCATGTCGTCGGATGAATTCAGTGGAGTACGTGCAATTCTTGGAAGGCAAGTTATTGCCATTTTGGGAAAGCAGCAACAATAAAGGACTCGTTCATAAAAGTCGCCATACTCAAGTATGGTTAAAATCGAAAAATATTAAAATTTCCGATCAGAATCCGATCGAGAACGTATGTGGAATCTTGACTCATCGTGTCTATGCAGAAAACCGCCAATACCAAACTGTATTTTACCTCCAAGAAGTGATTATCGATGAATGGCGGTCAATCAACAGTGTGATGGATAAAATTTTTGAACTTATTCAAAATAAGGGAGGCCATTATTTATAAAAGATATTTTACTTTGTTCTGTGTTGTTTTGTTCGACCTTTTGATTCTTATATAATAAAACAATATATATTTTCGAGCTTGAGGTCTTTTTTTTATTTTCACGATCAATATTTCGCAATTGTTTTAAATTGCATCTTCAGGATAATAAATAAACTAGTGTCAAGTTTACTTAAAACTATGACGATAGTGAAGTCTATCATAGTTTTAAGTAAACTTGACACTAGTTTATTTATTATCCTGAAGATGCAATTTAAAACAATTGCGAAATATTGATCGTGAAAAATAAATAAAAAAAGACCTCAAGCTCGAAAAAATATATTGTTTTATTATATAAAAGATATTTTATTTTATTTATGTTTTAAAAAATAAATTTTTCCAATTTTGTAAAAGTGTGTCTATAGTTATGCAACACCAGTAATTTTGAAAGTGCAGAATTCGGCGAAACCATAGATAATAAATTAATTATTTTTGTTGAATAATATGTGTTTTTGATCTTTTTATTGTGAACCATAACTTAATGGGTCCATTTTGTCAACTAACGTACCAATTGAATTAATGGTGCGGCTATAGTTATGATACGCAGTGTATTGGAGTTATATATAAATCCGCCCCGATTTCAACCATATTTGGCACGCGTTAGGACGTAGTAATTTCAGTACGTTGTGAAAAATTTTGTGGGCCATATTTTGGGGCATTGGTGCACCATTTACAGAAAATCTATATATGGGAGCTATATCTAAATCTGAACCGATTTCAACGTAACTTTACACACAGTAGGTTATACCATCTTCAGTACGTTGTGCAAAATTTTGTGCGAATCGGCAATTTTTTTGGGCTTTGTTGCACAATTCACATAAACTTGGACGAAAATATATATCTAAATCTGAACCGATTCTTCCCAATTTCAATAGGGTTCGTCCTTGAGTGAAATAAAAAAGCTGTACCAAACTTCATCCAATTCGGATTATAAATGCGAACTGTACTTTGTTTACAATTTAACACCAACGGACGGACGGACAAGCAGGAATCGACTCAGAAAGTAATTCTATGCATATTCTCAGAAGGAACCATGTGTATATCTCGTTTCCATAATACCCGGCACCACAGTGAGGTGAAGGGTATAAAAAGGGGTAATATGGGGACTACCCTCAATAGGGGGGCGAATATTAATAATTTTGTGGATGGAGATGTGTTACCATGTACGACTAAAAAATACCAAATTACAGCGAATTCAGGAACACCAAAATACTTAAAATTATGGGGTACCCTTATATTGAAGCTATGCCTAAACGTGGACCGATATATCCAATCTTCGAACTTGACCTGCCTGCAGACAAAATACTCTATGATATTTGGCGATATATCTCAATTCATTTAGAGGCTAGAGTGATTACAACAGACAGACGGACATCCTAAAATCGTCATATAATTTTACGTTGATTAAAAGTATAAAATTTATAGGGTTGAAAACGATTATTTCGATGAGTTACAAAAGGAAAAACACACTGAATATATCCTCCATACTATGGTGGAGGGTATAAAAAGGATATCATTTCACGGTAGTGATCACCATTCACAGTTACGTATGATTCGCAGCATTTTTGCAATGATGCCACCAGCTCACAACCCACACCAAAGTGTTACTTTTTCTGGATTCAATGGTAGCTTTTCCAATGCTTCTGGCTGATCTTAATCACTTAACATAGCTGTTCCACCAACTTTTAAAGAGCCCATTCACCATAGACCCAACTTAAGACTACTTTTACACGAGGAGTATGCTACCAAACTACAAACATTCAGGTTGGAAAATTAAGAGAATGTCATGGAAAGTCCCAGAATTATAACTTACATACACTTCAGAATTCCAAAATATAGTCAATTTGTTATTGAGATTTGAAAGAACTGAAAATATCAAATTAGAGCCAACTCGGTTGAAATACTGGTATTGGTATTTTTTAGTACAAAGATTTGGCACACAATGAGAACAAACGTGATTTCAACAGACAGGCGGGCATGGCCAAACATTTCTGGGTTAATGTTATTGGTCCAGTAATATTAGTTTCTTCTCTAATGTCTACCCAATATTGCGTAAAGAATCTAATAATTACAAATAGTAGTAAGAATTTTTAAAAAATGTTCAAATATTATATTTATTTTTTCCTTCGCTCTGTAGATTTCATTGATCCCAAAAGAAACGACATTCATCTGATCACATTCATTATATCATAATTTAATGTTTGTTCCTTCAAAAGAAGTAATAATTCGCTTCCCAGGTGAACTCCAACAGTTAAACTTTCATGGTATTCGAATTATGCCAGAAAACAGATCCATCGTTTGATCCATGAAATATATTGTGAAGATCCGCACATAATTGCTATAAACGTCGTTCTTGGTTACAACCGAGCCCCATGCAACGTGACGTGGAAAAGGGTCTTTGATGTCATAGTACTTTAATTATAATATGAAATTTTAATCCCTCTAAAAATGTTTTTGAACTAATATTGATAATTCCCCAGAGCTTGGTAAACATTTCTTTACATCCCATCCCCATTTCCGATCCCAACTAACAAACATTGTCCTTTTTAATCACTGTTACTTTTCTTGTTATTTTTATTTATTTATTTGCTATCTTACTTTTTTAATTTATCAAAAAAGTTTTTTCTATTTGTCGTTGTGTTGTGTGAAACTAAAATTTGTTATTTTCTTTTTTTTTACAGTTGCAATTACCGTTTGCCTCGCCTTGGTGACAAGTGTCAGTGCTGAAGAATGCGGCCAAGAGGAATTCACAAAATGTGCTGAACCTTTAGAGATGTTGCATTTAACATCGGAATTTTCTATTGGTGCTGCCAAAAAAGAGGAACTGGATAAACTCTGTGTGTGAGTATTAAAAAGAATGAAATACTATAAAGGAAGTGAGAGCGAGGAATTAAAAAAGTTCGTCGAAGGCGATAATTATGGGAACTATAATTGTTTTTGTTTGTTGGAATATATAATATGTGGAAAATTATGAATATAGGGGTTAATGTTTTTAAAATCCACTCATAATTAAGATGACCAATTATTACTACCTAAAGAGTTATTTGAAACTGAAAAGGAACTTGTAAAAACGGAGTTAAGTTTAGACGTGTTAAATTTGTTATACCCTCATCCATAAAGTTCGCCTTCAAAATATTTAAAACCGGCCGGGACCCTTATACATCAAATCATAGATTTACACTAGACATGTATAAAATTCGGATTTGTATCCCACTTATGGTTAGTTTGGTTCGAAATTTCGGCCAGGTCTACATCCGCAAAATGGTTTGCGATATTTTAGGCTAAACGCTTTAAAATACCAAAAGAGAGTGTTTTATGGGAGCCTATATTGAAAATTTTCTAATACTGCAATTTTGAATTACCAAAATAAATCTACATTGGGGATTTGTATTACCTTCAACACCCTGTAGTACAGGGTATTATGTCTTTAAGCAAATGTTTGTAACAAGCAAAAGTCTATATCGTTTACTTTTGCTTGTTACAAACATTTGCTTAAAGACATAATACCCTGTACTACAGGGTGTTGAAGGTAATACAAATCCCCAATGTAGATTTATTTTGGTAATTCAAAATTGCAGTATTAGAAAATTTTCAATATAGGCTCCCATAAAACACACTCTTTTGGTATTTTAAAGCGTTTAGCCTAAAATATCGCAAACCATTTTGCGGTTCAGTGGTTCCTTTTGAGAATATGCATAGAATCACTTTCGGAATTTGTATGTAACTTGGCACATCTCACAAATTTAACCAATCCTATTGAAATTGGAGAAAATCAATGTAAACTTAGATATAGCTTCCACATATATTTTCGTCCGATTATATATAAATGGTGCACCAAGCATCCAACGTTTGTCCAATTGAGACAAACTTTTCAACAGGGTACTGAATTAAGTACAGTTTGATATTTTTGAATATTTTTTATACCCTACACAACTATGTTGTCAGTGTATTATAGCTTTGTGCAGCCCCAAAAGTTTGTAACGCGGCGAAATATTGGTCCTAGACCCACCTTTTAGTATACCGATCGTCATATCTCGACTAGCTGAGTCGATCTAGACATGTGTGTCCGTCCGTCCATCTGTCCATTATAATTTGTAAACACGATACATGCCACAGTTATGGACCAATCTTCACGAAATTTTGCACGTAGGATGGGTTCTGGCCAATGAAGACCCCTATTGTTTTTGGGAAAGATCAGTTAATATTTAGGGGATGGAATTGACCAAATACTAATTTTTGTCGGTTTTTCTGTTTGCTCCAGAGGCCGCAATAATGGCCCCAAAATCGTGCCAAAGAATAAGCATGCCGGTTTTTCTGTTCGCTCCAGAGGCCGCAATAATGGCCCCAAAATCGTGCCAAAGAATAAGCATGCCGGTTTTGATAAAGATCGGTCAATATTTAGTGGGTCAAATGGACCCTGACTTTTGTGTGAAAAAAAACACAACATTTGTATTCTATAGCGTATATATTTACCCCTGAAGGACATAGATGAGGGAAGTTGATATTATATCCAAGAGGAGTGGTTGGCCTTTAAATTAATACCAATTATATTGTTGTATGTGCTCGGATGTGGAAGTTACACCTAAATATTTACAGGTATCTCCGTATTTGTATATTATTTAGTAACCCATTATCACTCTAGAGAGCGGAACTATAGGGCAGATCGTTTTGAAATGTTCCATGAGGTTCCAGTTATGGTCAAGGACAACGCCTATAATTTTCGGTGACGACCAGATAATAATTTTGGAATGAAGTGGGCCGAAAACTTAATTTTTTGTGTTATTTTCGATTCGATCTATCTGGGAATCTGGACAATAGATGTACTGAATACTCGTAATATTCGGAAAATATGTCAGTGTGAGGAAGAGGTGCTGTTTACCTCTAATCGGGAAGAGGGTGCAAATATCACGAAATATTGCCCAGGATCCGCAGAAAATTTGAGTTCCGTGGTAGTTGTGTAGGGTATCGTATGGTCGGCCCCGTCCGACTATACTGCTTCGCTCACTGGTTTTTTAATCAGTTTGGATTTAGATATATGTCGTATATATATTTTTATCAAATTTTATGTAAATATTGCGACAAACTCCCAATATTTATCCAATTGAGACAAAAGTTTGCATATCATTCAAAATTTTCCGTAGAAGCAAAATATTTAGTTTTGTTGAAATTGATGTAGAAGCAGATATAGCTCCCATATATATTTCAGACCGATTTCATAAAATTATTATTATCTAATTAAACAGTGCGATGTGTAGCGGCATACCGCATAAGGGTTGTCAAATTTGCTTTAAATCGGTACAGATTTTCATAGTTTTGTCCGATTCCTATAAGTGGTACACATGTGACTCTAAGGCTCTTCGACTGAAATGAGAGTTTGCATAGGTTACAGAATGGCATTTGTTGATTCTCACATTTAATTTCGTCCTATTTCATGGTCCTGCAATGATCTGACAAAAGTACTTCGTCTTTTACAATAAAAATCTTAGTAGCATCTCTTGTGTATACCTAATGTGGTGAAGGTCTTTCGTTACTGGGCTTTGTTTGAGACATGTGTTCTCCCCTTCAAGAAGCCAGAATTTGAAACAAAGAAAGCCATATCGGCTAGTAAATGCGATCAGAAACGATTATATGGAGGCTATAACAAAACGTGGACTTACATTGCATAATTTGTGCGAAGACGTTTTTAAGCCACCAATGGGCAGTATCGTTATAGAGAGGCTATATTAAAACATTGGCCCATAAGTTCAAATTCGTGTGGAAAGTACGACCCAAATCTTAAACCAGTAAGAAAATTAGTAAAGTCGGACGGGGCCGACTATATGATACCCTTCACCACTATGGGTATATTAAACAGGACTATTAACATGGAATTGGATGAAATAATATATGTGATATTTATCTAAATGTGAATCTACCTAGATATATCCATAAAGTATGTAAATCGACTTCAAACAAATATAAATAGGTCATACGTTGGGCTATGTATGTACTTCTAGAAACCTAATTCTATGCTTAATTTTGTACGTTGTGCAAAATTTGATGTGAATCTGACTAACATGAGGAGTTTGATGCGAAAATATATATGGAAGCTCCATCCAAATATTAAGCGATTTCAAGCAAACTTGTCACAGGTTAGGTTATACTAATTTCAGAACGTTTTGTTCCTATTGCTTCCTTGGTGCGTCAACTACTTAAAATATGTGAGCTACATATGAGCGAGCTATAAAGAAATCTGGACCGATTTTCTCGAAACTTGGCAGACATCACTCTAGGCTCAATTAAGTACGTTATGCCAAATTTCGTGCAAATCAAAAGATATATAGGGACTTTGGGGCACCATTACATGAAATCGGACGAAACTATATATGGGAGCTATATCTAAATCTGGACCGACTTTCTCGAAACTTGGCAGATATCATTCTAGGCTCTATTCAGTACGTTATGCCAAATTTCGTACACATCGAAAGATATATACTGACTTTGGGGCACCATTTACATGAAATCGGACGAAACTATATATGGGAGCTATATCTAAATCTGGACCGATTTTCTCGAAACTTGGCAGACATCACTCTAGGCTTAATTCAGTACGTTATGCCAAATTTCGTGCAAATCAAAAGATATATAGGGACTTTGGGGCACCATTACATGAAATCGGACGAAACTATATATGGGAGCTATATCTAAATCTGGACCGATTTTCTCGAAACTTGGCAGACATCATTCTAGGCTCTATTCAGTACGTTATGCCAAATTTCGTGCACATCGAAAGATATATACTGACTTTGGGGCACCATTTACATGAAATCGGACGAAACTGTATATGGGAGATATATCTAAATCTGGACCGATTTTCACGAAACTTGGCAGACATCATTCTAGACCTAAATGATTAGGCTGTACCAAATTCCGTGCAAATCGAAATATATATAGTGACCGTTTACATTAAATCGTTTAAATATATATATGGGAGCTATATCTAAATCTGAAACTATTTTTCCCAATTTCAATAGGGATCTGTACAAGGAGGCTATGCCAATGACTGCGAAATCTATAATTAGTTATTTACGCTAAAATGATCTGCAGTCCCTTCGGTTGAAAAATACACCGTAAATGGGTCGAACCATTATATGGGGGCTATACCAATACCCTACAATCAAATTTCGTTGGACCAAAACCTGGATTGATCTTTTCGTTCCGGAGACCCCATATAACCGGAGACCCCATATATATTCTTGATCAGAATAAAATTCAAAGACGATTTATGCCTGTCCGTATGTCTATCTATTGAAGTATATCGTGAAGTCTAACGTGATCGCAATATTTGAGTAATTTTGCACTGGCATTGCTGTTGCTTCTTGGATGGTTGGTATTGGGGTACATCAGTCCACCTTTTGGTATATTCCTCATATAATGGTTACCCCCAAAATAATCGGGTTTATTGGGATTGCTACGTACCCCGCCCCATTCTTCTTTTTTTGGAGGGGGGGTTTGGGGTGGATCACTTTTTCGGGAATACCCCATATAACGCTACATCCCACATTGCGGTATTTTAGGGAGCTTTGACACGTGCTTGAACCAAAATACCACCAATGAAACCAATGTATCAATTGTAAAGTCTTTTTAGTACTTTACTTATGAACGAATTTTCAAAAGATCCAGCTTAATCTACACCTACGCACCGATATTGACCTGCATATACCCGACCTGTTGTAGGGTAGTATATAGTCGAACTTTAGCCCATTACCTTACTGGTTTATTTATTAAGTTTTATCCCATCTTCCTTTTCTTTGTTCTTTTCTCGACAACATTAATCCAGTCCATTGTCATGTATGAATTTT